GACTTTTGTTAATTTATAAATCAAATGAAAAGGAATTCTACACAGCTGTTTCCTGCCATATGGGGAGGTGAGAAGAGATTTATTTCTATAACTTTTTTCCAAAGTTGCCCTTACCTCGCATTTTCTTTCAGCCAACGACTGTCTCTGTAGTGTAACATCCATTTCCACTTCCCTGTTCTGCTCAGCTCTTGCAAGATGTCTGAGCATTTTTTCATGTCGCCTAAACATTCATACAAAAGAAGATTAATTAGATTAAATATACAAATATACTAGATAACTGCTCATATTATAAGATCTCACACAACAAACTAGTCCACTTACAAAGACTGAGGGACTCCAGTGCTGCTCTGTCAAACATTAGAAAACCTCCCCGTGTGAAGAGCTCCTGGTGAGTGAGATTCACGACATCATCTGGTTCATCTATTCCAGCGAACTGCACGCCTGGTGACTTCTTTAACTCCAGCAAATGTGGGACCTTAGATAAAAGAGAGCAGAGTCATGAATTCATGATTAACTATCGCAAAAGACCTTATGCGATAATTAATAGTATATGATGATCGGTTACCTCGCAAATGTGCTCTGCAATGTCTTCATTCCTGAGGATGATGAGAAGGGATGAAGAACTACCCCCACCAAGGAAGAACTCGGATGGCTGTATGGGAGTATGGCCCACTGACTCTAACTGTGTCTTTTTGGAAAAAAAGGAGAAAATCCAAAACATTAGAAGCAAATTTCTGCAATAAACACATTCCCCTGACTTTCTGTCATATATTTTAGAACAGCAAATGAGTAGAGGGCTAATTAAGAGACTGTGTGTTATTTGTGAATAACCCGAACCCTACCAATACAATAAATGGTACAATGAATGAGACATTATATCATCCATCCATTTTCTACACAGCTTATCTTTTCAGGGTTGTAGAGGGGAATTGGAGCCAATCCCAGCTGACATTGGGCATCATCAACCAGCATCTGACCAAACAATCATCTTGTTCTGAGGGGACGGTGCCAACCAGCTGCCTCAACATTAAACTGATATATATGGAAATCTTGGTGTATGCACTGAGTTTCTGGATCATAGGTGTTAAACCCTGGTGAGATCTTTTTAAAACTCAACCCAAAATGAATCATTGGTTATGAAACACCACTGTTGGAAAAGAGAAGTGAATGTAAGTAGTTTTTCAACCACAGAAAGAGGCTGTGATCACTTAGGATTCAAGATTGTTAGAATGAAATGCAATAGTCCCAAGATTTCAAGGAGTATAAAGCAATCAAAAATGACCATAGAAACGTCTCTACCCACTTCTGTTGATCATACCCAAATATCATGGTCATGGAGCTGAGCTGTGGTACTGAGGTACTGTCCAAACACCCACGCAACCGATTATGAATCCATCTCTGTCAATTATGATTTCTCAGCCATTAGCATCAAAACACTTATCAAAAGCTAACATATCACTGAGTTGAACAGTTGTGTCAGAGTGATAAGAACTACCTAAAATGACAGAAAGTCTTTGGGAAAATGTTGTGAATACTTCCTCATATCCCATCCACTAACAGGCAGTGGGCAGGATCCGTCTTTATAAACAATCAGTGATGTGTCCTACAATAAATACGAACAAGCTAGTTGCTTCATTTTCTAAGTAACCCTGCAGACCCGCTGAGGGACTTAACTTTAAGGTCACTTCTATATTTATCATATCCTGACCTGCAGGCAAACAGGTCATGTCTAACCCGTCATGTATATATAACAAGCACAGCTCCTCACGCAGGCTGTAATATGATACTGGACATATAACTTACAAACACCAAACTGCAGATATAACAGACAAACAACACTGAGCTGCCTTCATGTATCTGTATTAACAGATAACAACTTGAACTGTAGCAAATGATTACTTTCATTTTGGTTAACAATATTTTAAAGAACAGAAAATCCCTATCAAGTGTAGGGTGCCATCATTCAATTTCTTGTTTTGGCTGATATTATAAATGTTATGTTTAATGCCAAATTAATTAATCAACAACAAATTGTTTTAAGCTATATAAAGAGGTGTAGACAAATCAAGTACCTGAGAAATTGATTGTTCTGCAGAAGCTGAGAATGTTCATGGACATTTTTTCTTTTCCTTATTCAAACTGACAAAAACCACCCATCTCCATCAACAGAAATATTGCATCATTATTTCTTTGAAAACTTGGTCTTACCTTGGTTTCCTCAAAGATGGAATCGTCCGACGTTGCCAATATGTAGAATCTGTACTTTGATTTACAGGATTTCTTCACAACTGAATTCAGTTTACTTCGAAAGCTCTCATCCATCTCTCGCTTCATTTGATCACAGAAGTCGAAAAGGTGACTTGGTTCAATATTTTTGTGACCTCTGTTCATTACAAAGTGTTTAGGTCCAAGTGGGACCTTTCGGACACCACAAATGTCATCCATCATTGCCTCATAAAGTGTAGCACATTTTGTAGCAACACCAGATGCATCCGCATGTTGCTTTTGGTTATCTGTTCTTGGGGATAAGTTTTGAGGATGCATAGTCTTTTCATCCTCTGGGTTTTTCCTGTCACTCATGTCAACCTTGATTTTTTGTCCAGCAAGTGAGTGAGCGTCCAATAGATCCAGTGAATCCTCCTGCTCCTCCAGGCTTGAAAAGTGCACAGTTACAGGAGTAGCACAAGACAATACCAATTTGTCATCTGTATCCTGTTCGCTTATCTGTCCTCTCTTACTCCTTTTCAAAAGCTGTTTCATTTGTTCAGAGAAGATAAGACACTCCTGTTCCATTGATGCCTGTGTGGGGTCATCCTGTAGGCACCTTCGGGAAACCTGCTCCAGAAAAGAGTATGACCTTTTCTGACCAGTGTTAAAAACTGTGCACGTGAGTGAAGTTTGAGGTCCAGGGAAGAGAATTTCTTCTGTAACGCTATTGTCATTGTCATCCTCAAATAAAGTTAATGTCTCTGTGTCGTCTTTCTGATCCATTTTCGGGTTCTCTTTAGTCGTTTGCCCAACTTTCTGAAGTAAACTATGTGTAAAGAAACCTTGGTGTCCATCACTTTTTGCCGACTCAACTGACTGCTTGGACAGAGGGGATGAAAGAATCATATTCCTTCTTTGGTTGTGATCAGGAGGATCTAAGTGTGCAAATGCAACTTCATCTGAGCTAGAGTTACAGTCATTAACATTCAACAGTCGATAACTTTTGGTAGAAAACTCACTGAAGTTTGGCTTTTCATCATTTAGTCCAGACTTTTCCTTGAAACTTTCTGTCTTCTCCATGGGCATGGTGATGGGTGTTGTGTAGGTGGGAGAGCATTCAATATGTCCAACTTCAGAGATATGATCTGATTGACTTTCATCATTCTTAGAGGGTTTCACAGCCATAACAGGACGCTGATTGTATGAACAAGGTCCATTATCTAAACTTAACTGTGATGTTGTCTTCTGCCCGTCTTGGTCAATATTTGGTTTAATGGTTTGCAAACACTCAGCAGAGGGAGTAGATCTCGAGGAATGACAATAATCTTGCCCTTTAGAAGTTTCCTTTAATATCTCTGTTCTTTCAAAACTATGTTGAGGAATTGGTGAGTCTTTGCTCTGTTGCTGCAATTTAACACCACGTACCTTCTCAAACTTGTTTTTGAAAGATGATACAAGGTTACTTGATGATTCTTTGTGCAGTTCTTGTGAGGTAGAGGATAACACCTTCGCTGGCTTTAAATAGCTTAATTTCTTGTTCGTACAGTCAGCCGAAGTGTGTCTTGGGGCCAAACAAGTAGAGAGGTTAGGCTTTTGATCAAGACAGTTTTTTGTATCAGTTGTTTCAATCTGGTTAGATTTGTTGGTATGGTTTGAATTGGTGAGGAACTTGTCTAGACATTGCAGAACATTCAGAGTTCTTTGTTCAACATCAGAATGCTGAATGAAGTGAGGGCTGGCATGGCTATTAACTCTGGATGTGTAACAGAGTTTTTGCCCAGGAGGCTTTTTGTGATTTATGGGTTTTGAGCTTCTGCTCAGACATTTTGGAGTAATGTTTTTGCAGGTTTTGTCAGTACTGCTGCCAGGTAGCGGACAAGGTATGCACTCGTTTAGCACCTCATCCAAAGTTGGAGTCGGGCATCTGTCATCAGACTCTTTTCCAAAGACGAATGTCTGGTTGGTTTTGCTAACATCAAGTAGTGATATTTTGCCAGCATGCACTTCCTCTTCTTTACGGTACATTATGGAAGTACTACATACCTCTGCAGGCATGTCAGGGTTTGCAGTTTCACTGTTAAATGGTATTCCTTTCTGGCCTTGAACATTGTCTATCTTACCATGTGGGTGAGAGATAGGTAGTTTTACTATATTTGTTGTAATAAATGGAATTACAACCTCACTGTGAGCTTTTTCCAATCCCTCATTTGTAGCGTTCATTTCGAGATCTGTTTTAGTCAGTGCCTCCTTAGCTTCCTCGTTTTTAATAACCTCACACTGAGGTGAATGTGACTGGTGATCAAGTAATTCTTGGGATGCGTTGTTGTCCTTTCTCTCTAACACAACTGATTTGGTTTTCTGATCATTGGGATCATCAGTACCTCTCATCTCCAAACTGTCCTTTGTCTGGGGAATAAACCCAGCTGCAGAGGAACCATTTAATAAACAAATGGTCTCATCAGATACGAGTAACGATGCCTTCTGACATGGTGCCTCATCTGGGTTTTCCTCATCTGCAGATTCGTCAGGAAAAGGTTCATCTTCATGTGGAGTGTAAGGAGCTTCTTCTGAAATAGAATGTTCCTCTGTCAAAGCACTATCATTTGCACAAGGTTTTCCCAACCGTGTATCATGGCAGGCACTAGGGGGTTGCTCATCAAATGGTGCTTGGCGACTACCATCTGTAAAACAATCCTGAAGTGACTCAAGGCTGTCGCATACAATATGTAACGACTGATCACTCAAATCACTGCCATTTGAGACGCAACTTTCGTTCTCATTAAGTTCATCCTCTTTTCCACAGTTATCTTCATCAGCAACCATTTCACCTTTGTGAACTGTATGAAAATTCACATCTTCAGCAATATTTTCAGCCTTGCCAGGTGATACTGGTTTAGGTCCCTCGATCGCTAGCTGCTCTTCATTTTCAAAACTATTTCCATTGCAAACAATACCCAATTCCTTCTTTGTAGAGTCATCCCCTTTGAAAATCGTTTTTGGAGGTTGCATATCCTCTTCTTGGCATGGGTTCTCTTTCACTTCCCATTTTTCACCATCTTTAGGTTGAATTTCATCTTTCTCATCTATACGAAGCACATCATTTGCTTCTTTGTTGGATTCTGCCTCTTCATCAGTCATGGATTTGGATGAATCTGTTGCATGTTTTTGAACCAAACGTATCCCTGTAGTTTGTGAATGTTTTATATTAATGTCCACATGTGTCTTCTCATTGTGGCATCCATGTAACATGCGGCCAATCCAAAATGGGTTTTGAACATTTCCTGTCCAGATTAATACACTTCTCATCTTTTCTTGAATGTGAGTGAATGGTCTATCATCTTCAGCTTTTTGTGAAGGACCACAAGTTTTGCCATTTCCACAGTGGCTTCTGAGATCATTCACCTCATTAACAATCTCTGTAGCGTGTACCATCGGTTTGTAACACTGGAAAAAGAAATAGAAAACAGAACATAGGAATTAAATGCTAATTCAATGTTTCAAAGGCCAATTGTGCAATTCAAAAAATTTGTCCTGTAAAACATTACAAAAAGTAGCTACACTTGCACTGAAAAACGATGGGAAATATGTGTCAATACCAGCAGAAGTATAAGGCTAAATAATTATTTCCTGACATGCAGCAAAGAACAATTAAAAACAGAAGTCGGAAAAGTCTCAACAAATGGCCAACCAAGAAAGCGGCTTCAACTAAGAATTTGGTTGAAATCAACTTTGGAACTAAATCTATCCACACAGTATCACATGAAGCACCAATATAATGAGTGGTATGTGTAAAGGCCTTTCTTTTCAGTTGGTAAAATCCCTGTGGTCTTCATACAGTTCATCCACAGCATGATTTTCAGTATACAGACCAGCTAAGGAATGTGCATATTACTATTAGTACAGTAGAATTACAAAGATGATTACTACTTTTACTAACTTACATTTTTACTTGTTGCCTGATCCTGACTCCTGAGTATATGTGTTCACACATAGAATTCCCCTGGATTTATACAGACTTTAAGAGGCCAGGCAGGTAAATTCTGCAGAAACTACTGAGCATCTCACTCGGACATTGGTGCTCACACATTCACTTCCTCAAAAGAAGAAATATTATGCTTGTTAAAATTTGGGTTATTTCTTGACAAGCTTTACATGATCCAGAGAAAATGCCTTACTTTCTTCATCTGTCCATTGCTGCATCTTCTCTGCCTGACACTTGGTTTAAACTCATGTCTCTTTGAGGCCCCCTCTCCCCATACAGCTCAGACTGCTCTGATTGGTCAGCTAGCCCAATCTTTTGTGCTTGGTTAACTGCTTCCAGCATGAGTAGGAAATTTCGTGGACCTTTGGTTTTTTAAATTTGCCGACAATTTACATGCACAAAAAAACGAAATAACACATTAGCGGAAAGGGGAAAAGTGAACAAGCATAATACGTCTCCTCTAAGCCTAAATGGCACAACTGGCATAACAATAAATTTGGATTTAAGATTACCAACTGACTTAGCCTAAGACCAGGTGAGACAACTTGGCGCAACTGGCCCCTATTCCTTCAAATATTTAATATCACAAAGACTATCTGAAAAACACAGTTAAAATATGACATGTTTGCCTTCAGCATAACATTAACTTTAGAACCAAACCTGTAATGTTCTTGCCTCCTGTAGTCCCACTGCTGATTTGAGCGTATTCAAAATGTCACTTGCTTCTTTCAGTTCACTGGACACAGAGGATTCTTTGCTGTGGATTTGTGGATCTAAAGTGACAGTTTCTGCACAAGAGTTTCTCAGTGACAAGTCCAAAAGCACAGATCCTTGGTCCAAGACAGGGTTGTCATTTTTGCTCAAGTCCAAAACTTTTGAAATTGAAGGGTCTTGAGAGGCTGTTGTACTTGGGAAAGCACCAAATGACTTTGTCCTGTTCTCAGACTGAGCTGGTGCTGATACGATTTCACTGGACATTTCCAAAGAATCCCTCTCTTCTGAACAAAGGCTTGTAAAGTTTGAGTCAAGGTGATATAATCTGGATGTTGACCGGCTGTAAAACAGACCTATCCATATGTGGACGATGAGTTGTACCTCTTCAGTGGTGTCTTGAATGGAGAAATCCCACGGGCTATCAAAAACGGGAAATGTGCAAACATGAGCTCTTTAAGTTAAATATATCTTCATCTCTTAATGTGAAAAGTCATGATTAGATTCTTTGTATAAATAAGTAACACAAAATACATACCCATGCAAGGCTCGGACGACAGCTCTGCCCTTAGAGCTACTTGCAAACTTGCTGTCTCTTTTGAAGTTATAGTTTTCTTTCCATCGTCTAGTGACTTGGACAGATTTATCCTTATTAACAAAGGTTCGGGAGTTCCTGAACTTTTGCCTGCGTTTCAGGGATTCTGAAGTCCTGCAGTGGTTGCGTTCACCTCTGTCTTCCTGACCAACAGAGCGGTGAGCAGTCTGAACTCTATCTGTATTCAAGTATTGATGATGGTGCAGCAATCTGGTAGAACCACTTAAAGGGTTTACCCGGAAGGGTTTACCTGGCAAACCCAACAGCAGAGGGAAAGACCCAGGCAATGAGTAATCATGTTCTTTAGATATCAAACCAACCAAGTTACTGTCTCCCGCGTGGGGGATTGGTGAAGTAGTCTCAAGAGGCTGAGTGTGTCTAGCAGCAGGTTGTCTAAGCAGAGCATGAAGAAGTGACTCCTGTTCAGCACTGGGAACATCTTTTATCAGGCCACACTTCTTGAAATTTGTCTCAGGTTTTATTTCAAGTGCTGGTTGTGGTGGAACCTTGTCAATACTGGCACTTAAGGCCAAGTCAGCAAGTAAATTCAAAGCTTCAGTAGATGAGCAAGCATTGTTCAATTTTTCCATATCAGTCTTACTGACAGAATTATCCCTAAAACATTCTTTGTGTTTTTGTTTGTCAGTGGGAAAATGAGTTGGGGTTTGAAAATGCAACCACCCTGTGAAGACAAAATAGAGAAGAAAAAATAAATTGCGTGTATTAGTACAAGGAACTTGCCACCCACATGAACTATTGTTTTAAATTGGGTTACTTTGGGTTCATATTACTGGCAAAAATTCAGAAAAGGCAAGAGAAGAGCAAAAGCAATTAATTAGCAAAGCACATATAGCATTGTGAGGACAATTGCAGAAGCCACAGAGCCAAGAAAATGTCAGTTATTTTCAAAGCCCTGCACAATATTCAACGGATTATACAAATTAAACCACAAACATGCATTCCAAATGTAAAATAAATATGACTTACATTTCTTTTTGATATTGTCTTCAGAGATCCCTTGATGCTTTTTGAGCATTTTAATCCTACTCCTTCTTGTGAAGATTGATGGAGGCCTTTGTAGGATTGGAGATTGTTTGTTTGAAAGGGCTTGTTCTTGTGTCTCTGATGAGTATTCCCTAAATTGAGAGTCCTGGCCCTCACTCTTTTGTACCTTATCTGGTTTCTCTTTCGGGGTCAGGCCTAGGGCATATGCAAAACGAGGGTCAACTGATGGCATGTTTGTCATTTCCTTGACATCCACATTAGTGTCCTGGACACTTGTAGAGGCCTCCAATGCCTCTGCATCATCTTTGCCCTTTTTGAGACAAGGCTCAGTGTTGGCAATACTTTCCGTTGTTTCCTCTGACACATTTTTTTTTCTCTTTCCCTTTAACAGGACGGATTTTAGTTTACTCAAGATTAATTCACCCTTTGTTGCACACTTTCCTGTGAGGAAGGTACCAGTTTCTTTAACTTTCTCTGTTGGAGGAGTGTCTGTGCCATCATTCTTTGAAGAATGCTCACTACTCACTGGATGCAAAGGCAATGAACAATTGTCTGATTGTCTAAAGAGGCTATGTTCATTATTTATAAAACTAGCCACAATGTTCTGAAGAGGATTCCTTCCATCCTTGGATATGATGGCATCCGTTTTGTCCACTGCTGTCAATGGCCCAGTGTTTGATTCTTGCTCCATTTTGACTTTTTTGTTATCACTCACAGAGGCATCACCCAACACTTTTTCAGAGTACTGCTCATCGATTGTACATTGAAACTTGTGCTTTAAAGACTGAATCTGATCAGCAAAATCCACAGAGCCATGAGGAACCAAGATCCGTCCACATTCACTGATAACAGGCTTCAAATCCCAGCGCTCGGTTTTCTTTCTCAGGGGACAGACTTCAAGATCCATTAAAATGGCTTCCTCCAAGCTCTGCTGTCCAGGGTCAGTTTTTTTCTCCTCTGCTACAGCTAAACCAACAGTAGCACATCTCACCTTGTTACGTTTTGATAAAAGTTTTACAACATTGCATTTGTGACTTCTTAATTTTCTCTGATCAATATTCAATAGATTGTTCAACTGTGAGTGGCCAGATGATTCAGTTTCAACACAAGCTTTATACTTCTTTTTCAGACTTGGCCAGACTTTGGAATGCCCCTTACGCACTTTCCTTTGATTTGTTTCTGTGATGTTTGGGCAATCTATATTTTTGATTTTGACCGTCTCATGCAGAGAGTTGACTCCTGCTGTTTGTAATTTTGCTGCTGAAAAACCAGAAATCTGAAAGTCATCATGCTTTGCTGCTGACATAGAACTGATCACATTTAGACTTTCATCAGTGACACTTCGCTCTGCTGATGTGATGCTGACAATCAGCTCTGCTGACATGTCATCTGATGTAGGGGAGGATAAGGGAGTTTTTGACCCTGTATCATATGTTTTGATCAGTACAGCCAGGTCAGATTTTGAATTGTCTTCAGCTGCATCTTCTGCTTGCAAATCATTTGATGCAACATTCTGAGGTACAGTTATCAAATCAACTTGGGCTCTAGTACTTATTGGACAATTCTTCACAGATGTCTCAGCATTTACAAGAGATTTCTGGTCTGTCAACTTGTCTTCTGACTCCATGCCGATAGGATTGGTTGGTGCCTCCTCAGGAAATGACGGACAGATGTGAATACTGTCATCGAGACATTCCCTTTGCTCCTCTTCTTTAGCTGCCAGGATTTCTGAAGCCAAGGACACTGGCAGTTGAAAGGAGACTGGTTTGCTCATGTATGAAGTGAAACTCTGCCGTGCTTTGTCAGTCCAAACGGGGGACGAGTAGAGGTTTTTGTGGTCATCCAGCACATCATACTGATCTGGAAAGAGGCTGCCTCCCCCTGATGTACTTAAGTCCAACGCAGGGTTTATCAGTTCTGCGTAACTCCGCATGTGCTGTGCCAACACCTCACACAGTTCTTCAGTTGAGTTGAGGGGTGTTTTCTCAACTACACCTTCTGCATAACTTAGCACTGGTAGAACCTGAAGGATTTCAGATGAAAGGGTTCCCTTTCTCTGTCCAGATTTTGTGCCTGGGATAAAAAAAAAAAAAAAGAAGAAAAGAATAGTTCTAAATCTCTGGTTTGGTCTTATAACAAAGCAAACTACATATGTCACTGAGTGGGGTTAATGTCAATTCATTTCAGGGGTGTGAAAACATAAGGTGAAAGTAAATGCATGCTGTAATCACCTCTCTTTATGACCCGTGAGCCTGGGAAAATAAACATGCCGTGCAGGACCTCAGTTGCATTCAAAGCATTATCTAAAAAAAAATTAAAAATAAATTATGTAGTTGATAAGATAGAATTCTATAATTGCATTATAAATGTCACTGTTATAAACATCAGCATTTTCATATCTTACCATCGTATGGGAAAAAATGGGATGAGTGCAACAGGAGAAGAAAACCACCATCATTCAGAGGAACAGTGAGAGCCTGAGCAAAAAAAAAAAAGAAGTTAGGTACATAATTTAATTGTTACCTCTGCCAAGGAGGTTGTGTTTTCATCTGCGTCTGTTTGATAGTTAGCAGTATGAAGCGAAAAATAATAAAACGATTTGCGTTAAACTATGTGGAGGGATGACCCGAGACGCAAACCATTCAATTTTGGAGAGGGTCCAGATTCATGATTTTTTTTATTTACCATGGCGAGAAGAACGCGCTCTCTGAGTGCCCTTTCAGTTGGTTTGTTTGATGGTTTATCTGTTAGCACGTTCTTTTACTATGTTTTATGACCAACCATAACTTGTAAGCGCAACATAAATTTAGTCCATTCACTGATTTAGTCAATTGACAGGAAAATTCTACATTGCTTGACAAATTCAACTGGTTTTTGCTCAAGTTAATTGATTTTGCCAACTGAATAAACTTTTTTAGAATGAAAGACTAATGTCTGAAAGATCTGTTATCAAAAGACTCACAAGATCTTTCTCCTTGATCTCCTGCAGAAGCTGAGCGAGTGAGTTTGTATCTTGTGCCTCAGAAGGAACCAGCTCAAACACACTGCAGTATAAGCCACCCAGAGAGACTGAAAGACAACAAAAGACCCAACATCATTACTATACATGAATTCAAATCCAATAATTTTAATAAACATTCCTTTGAATTGTAAATCTTGGACAATAAAGATATTTTTTTCGGACATCCGGAAAACCCACCTTCACTAGAGAAGCAGGTTTTAAAGGCAGATCTTGGCAACAGCTGCATCAGATCAACCATGGAAATGGCTTTCTCAACTTTGACCACTGGAGGCCTTAAACAGAAAAACAAAGACAGAGAGAAAAATACAAGTCATTTAATTCAAGTCTAAGTTAATAAAGAGAGCAGTATAGATTTACTCTGCACCTTTAACTTACAGTTTTGTAGGAATCAGTGCCCCTTTGGTGGACCTCAGCCCAACATCATAGGACCGGGTGCCTATTTGAAGCTGACCCCTCCAGGCCAAGTAATCACAACCTGAAATAAAATCACATACAACAACTATTAAATAGCTATATGTTGTACATGTTCATTTCAGTTTATTTTCAATGAATTAAATACACTCATGGGGCACTTATTATGTGAACCTGTGAAATTAAACATGAAGTTGTGCATGTAAACATGATATAGCTGATTTACTAGACATGCACATTACTGAAAAATAAATGACTGCCATTATCTAAATTAAAAGCTGTAAATTGATTAACATGAATAATGTATTTCAACACTGGCACATTTGGGCTGTGGCTGAATTGCCAAGTAATAAACCTTATGAAAGTGCTATTGAACTGAATTTGCAAGATTTTCTGGATTTTACTTACCCAGTTTTTTCTTCTCACTGAAAAGAGAAATCAGGAAACAAGTTATCAAATATTCTTTACGTGTATTAAGTGGTGTTGATATGCAGAGCAGAATATGTGGTGCCATCATGTTACAGTACCTTGTCTCTTGTGGTGTTACAAGTATTGCTTTTGTGTCCACATATGAAAATGGTACAATAGCAAAAGGACAGGCAGCACTGGGAGATAGAGCTGTTTCACCGCTTCCATCATCCAACAGCTCATATAAGTAAAACTGAAAATACAAAACAAAAGGCATTTGAGCTACTTAACGCCCTTTCATTCTTTCTTTCTTCAAATACTGTCAAATATCAAGGTGCTCAACAATACTGTGCTAACAAGGATGCATATAGACGAAGAGATAAAGACACTTGAGCTGCTTTCAGACATGCACTGAACTCTGGATAATTTCAGGAGATTGTATGAGGCAAATGTCAGAGTCAGTTGCTTCGGAAACTCTCCAGAGTTTGCCCGCCCCCTCCTAAAAAGTCCAGATAAAGTCCACCATAATGTCCAATGAGCCAATGTGAGAACACAGATTAGCAGAGAACAGTGGAATCAAATCATCTCCTGAGTTAAGCACATCCCCAAGTTAAAATATCTGTTCACATTTCAGCACTCAGTTACCTGGGTTCTCCCAAAAGTAAGAAAGGAGCTGGTTTTGGCAGATGCTGAGGACAACTCTTCTGACTCATGGCAGTCAAACCCCACTGTGGGTGCTGTGAACTTCTGGGTGTAGTTCTCAAGAACCCTCTTAACTCTGCCCTGGTGAAAACAACAAAGGATTACAAATGATTTAGCTCATAACATATTATGTTCTAATAATAAATACATTTCAAGTTCCCAATTTTTTAGTACCTTTGTTAGCCTGATGATGGCGACGTATCCAGATTTTCCATGATACCAGCAATTTAGATCCCAACAGTCAGAGTATCTTGACAAGTAAACACCTGAGTAGATACAGGAAACTTTCACTTGATGTGTTTTCAGGTAGAAATAAACACAAGGAGGGTTTGAATACATTATAATAAAGTACAATGTAACTACACATTACTCTGCAGTGACTTTCAAAAACAACTCATGTTTTAACAGCACACACCTTTAAATATGAATGTCTCAACTGTCAAGGACACACCACACGATAAACTGCTATCTGAATTACCTCACCCACTGAATGACAGACCATGTACTTGCAACATTATGTTCTCCTCAATCGTTAACAATAAGAAATTTAAAAAGAGAAATTTACATCTATAACCTTAACGAATATTATAGATACTTTAAGCTTCACTGTACAAGAACACATATTGCTTCACACTGATCAGGGCCTGCACTTAATTCTTAGTTTCCACAAAGCAACTCAATACACTTTATTCAGTGCACAACAACTTAAAGATATTGAAACGTAGAGATAATAGGATAATTAAAAAAGCACTGAAATGAGTAGGATGTGTAAAAATACACATTCAGTTAGATTCTCCCACAAATTAAAAATGGCAAACTTACAAAAGAAGAGGTAGAAGAAACAGCCAATGAATAGTTTGGCGGGTCTTTTATACTCCCTTACCTAAAGTCTCCTGTCAAATTGCTGTAAGTAACAAATCACAAAAAATACTAATAGATAACCTGTCCAAATGTCTCTGAAAAATCGATAAAGCAAGTTTGTGGTCCTAATAAAAGAGGAAATCTGTTACATCATGTTTCTGATCTGGACAAAAACTGAAACAGATCAAAACAGAAACGGATGATTGGTAACAGTGCAACACTGCTACATTTATTTTAATTGCATGTGACACAGCGGGGCCATGTTTTCACGGTCCACTCCAGTGTAATATTAAACTACTGTTCAATGAAAAACAGAGTCATTAAAAAGGACTTTGACCAGTGTTTACAATGTCCATACCGCCTGGGGTAGGCTGGGGTCTTCAGAAAATATAAACGTGTAGATATGTAGAGATGCTGGTATACATATGTCTGACCAGGTGGGAATATTTGCACAGGTCTAACGCAGCAAAATTTTGACTGGCAACATTTCTAAATGGAAGTTAAGAGGCAAAACTTGATATATTAAAAAAACATCACAGTTAAAGGTACAGTGTGTAAAATTTATCTAAAATTGCATGTTGCAGCTGAATACCCCTCACATCACCCTCTCCTTCCAAACATGAAAAAGAACCTGTGGTGGTAAACATGGCGGCCTCCGTGAAGGGCCCCCTTGATGTAAATATAAAGTATTTAAATATAAATGGTATTTTCTSGGGTAAAGAAAACTACAATTCATACAATTTAGATGAAACAAACTAATGAAAACATCATGAGGATTATTCTACATTACATTTCTGTCAATAGATTCCTTTTACCTAAATCTTGGACCTTTAGATTAGATTTCTTTTAAATGTTGCAATGGGCAGTGAAACAGGCAACACATACCGTCTCTCCCCCTCCTTCCAACACTCTTCTATACACCAAATTAGTTTCTGTTTGACAACATAGTTTCTGTTTCACAGCACAATTTCTTCCACTTTCATTTTTAACATTAATGCAGCTCCTGCGCTTGCTTTCACTTTTAAAGGCAGAGGACCCCCATTCACTCAGCATGGACCTTATCTGCAAAAGAGACACTCTGAACAGCATAGATGCCTGGATAAAAACCTGGACATGACCATCAAGGTAATAACTCCATAGCATACTTTAAATCAATGACAAAGATTTAATGTCAAATGTTTTTTTTTGCTTTTGCTCTACCCAAGTTATATGTTCCAGTGATCATTGTTTACAAATCTTACACCGGTGTTATGCATGGAAACCTGACCTCATGTTCGGTCATGGCTTAGCTATTTCTACAAAACTGTCATGGATAGCTTGAGGAAGTGAAAGAAATCATAACTTACCCTTAAACGGATCTCCCAGAGTTGTGCATGCACTCTTTCCTGTGAGGACGCCAGTTTCTCCGAGCGCATGAGCCTTTAAGCAAATACAAATGAGAAAATCAGCGACCTCTGGAACGTGTGCTGTCTCACGTTAGTCGTCGTAGCAAGTCTGTACCTGGTTGATGTCATCAAACAGCAAAAACCCAAAGGTTTCCTTCAATTCCTCTTCTGAATATCCTGCTTGTCTTCTCTTTGCTCGGAAGGCATTATACTGAAGTGAAAGATATAAAAAAAAAAACAGAATGGAAAATGAAATTTCCATTTCCTCAAGATCTCCTGTTTAACGGATTGATGTTTTTGAATCTGTTTTTGAATACAAAGCAAAGTAAGAGTGGTGTTTTGCTGCACTGCACATTTTAAACAATGTTGCCTTAACTTTTTAGTATGAGAACTCAAATAACACAGGATGCGATGACCTAAATAACACACTTTTTATATAGTTGCTGCAATGTGAATGCCATTGGACTGGTGGGATCAGATCTGGACTAACCTTCTTCTCCAGCTGCTCATTCTTGATCAACACTGCGGACTTATACCTGAAAGACTGCTTGGACTCCTCAAACAAGTACGCACTTTGAAGTGGAGCCAAAATCCTGCTTTGAAAGACGTCAGAAGCGTCTGACACGGGCACTAAAACACCTTAAAGTGGACACAAACAACAACAGCGTGACACAGAGTAAACTACAAGCCACCGAGCGAAGTTACAGCAAGTTGCGTTTTCGCTTTCCCAGCTTGGGGAAAAAACTTCCACCAGACTGGGACTATTTGTCCTGAGAGACACGACACACACTCCGTGTCCTTTTCTCGTCGACTCAAACGACATTAATAGTATATCTCATAATAAACATACAAATATATATGTATATGTAATAATACAGGTCAGGTATAGTGGAGGTGTACACGCTCAAGTCACATTAATAGTCAAAGTTTCACGAGGAGAAAGTGTTTCGTCACCTTTACGCGCAGCAGCGATAAGTCCACTTTCCATCGCTGGACTTTTTTAGGAAATCTGTCTTTCTCCCTTTGCCCTTCGTTGAAAACTCTTGTCTCTGCTTTTACACATCACCACGGAAATGTTAGACGGTCCCAAGTGTGCTGATGCGTCAACTAAACCTCTCGCAGTCACTCGAGCTTTCGTCGCAGCTTCGACAGACATATTAATGCGAAAAAACCAGGAAGTTGCAGAATAGAGCACAGTCAAACCACGCAGGAGCGAATAGATCTGCTTAGGTTATTGTTCCATATCGTTTCCCAGGTAAGAAATACGGTTAATGGTGGAATCTCCTCGGCTTCCTACGTGTATCGTAGTCCAGTCGGTGGATGCTGTTAAAGTCGCTCTTGAAAAAGAAACAGAAACCTACGGAGGGGAGAACCTCCATTTTGAAAGTCTACGCGGAGCTGCGGCGGTGGTGAGGCTGGTGTGGCTCTGCTGTTCCCTTTCCCCTGTCTGCTCCCCTCATCGAGGACTGATCATCACACACGAGCTTATCAGACATATGTTCTTACACTGACGACTCAACGCGTGCCACGATTTGGACGATTAAACACGAGATTCTGCCATGAAGAGAAAGTTGAGTTGATATCAACAGTGGCAGAAGCAACACGGGGTCTATTTATTCCTGTTAGTCTGGTTCTGTGACAGGATATTAATTACTGCCAATGCTGCCACTGTCATTATTCTTTACTGTCATTTTTTGTATTTTTCACTGACCTGATCAGAGGTTATTGACAAAATAAAGCTCCATCAAGTATTTACCTTTTGTTGAGTCCATGGTGACAAAGTGGCAACAAATCCCCAACTATCCAAATCAAGTCAACGTCAAGTTGCTTTCGTGATCCTACACAGTAGCCCAATATATACACTTGTTATAAGAATCAGATAAGACCTAGCTGGGTTCCATCATTAACCCATCTAGGCCAATTCCCCCAGGCCCCAAATGGGAGAAACCAGGGTTACCCACGTGGGCCCCTTTATAATGAACACATCTGGGCATAAGCTTATGGGGCCACCATGGAAACTGGGGACAAAATAGACTGTGCCCCAGTTGGGTAGCTCAAAAGGGCTTCATATATCAGCCTAGATCCACAACATTTGGGCCTCATCTGTGGGTGGATGCTTGCATAATTGAGACTCTGGGCTCTCACCACCAAAGTATGCAATCCATTGCTGTACCCAAAATCTCTTCCCTGTTCACTCATTTACTACTCCCTGGAAAATAGAGCACAGGAGAGATCGCTTTTTGAGCACAGACGTATAATCTTAGTCAAATGTTTACTTCAACAGTGACAACACACCCGTAACCTACCCAGGCATTTTCACCCAAACCACAACATTTTTAAAAAGTTCATCAAAAAGTTCTGAAATCTTTTGTGGTGTGGAGCAATTTTTAATATGGGATATAATTGTGGAAAACCATCTACAGCAATAATATTGTTCAGGCCTTACACATGAAAATGGGATTGTGTCTGTTTCTGAATTGTCCATCAGCAGCAATCGCACATTACACCAAAAACAAGGAGACTTGGGCAAGAGTAAGATAATGCAAAGTCAGTCTATTTATTGTGAGCCTTGGCTAACTTCCCGAAGCAAAATCTAATACTAGCTTACTCCTCACCGTGAAATCAAATGTTGCTGCTAGAACACAAACTGCAGACAGTCACAATCATTGGTGAAGGAACTTTATGATATATAATAAATGAATCATAAAGAATAAATAAACAGCTCCCTTCATGCAGTCCTGGTCACAACATATGATGGCATAGTAAGCGTCACACTAGCATGCTAGCTTAGCCATGTAAGCTTTAAAAATGCAAAACCTTTTTACTTGTTAACACATTTAGGAGGTCGATGCATTTTAAAATATAATTTAAAACACTGCATTGTTTACGTTGTTTCTTTTATGAGCTTTATTGTTACAGGTTAACA